ATGAGAAATATTGGAAATAAGACCATTAACGAGTAATAATTTATATATTTTTTGAGATTAGAATTGGAAATTTAAGAAATAATTTTAAAAAAATAATTGAATTTTTATTACCATTGAAATTAATTGAGGTTATGATTTTGATCCGATTTCTTCATATATCTAATCACTTACGAATTAAAATTCGGGCAACACGTACGAAAATGAAAGTTAATGAAATCGGTTCATCTACAATAATTCGTTCAAGAATTCTGGGACTCTCTATTTCATAAAACTAAACGTTTAACCTCGAGGCAAATATTTACTTCTCATAATAGCAAAATTAGCGTCCATTCAACGACTCAGCAAAAAACTATGTCTCAGCAAAATATTTTTTTGGACAAACGTTATCTAACAAAAACTATTGGACATATTGGTTATTAGCAATATTCTACAATCAATACAACAATTATTGCTACATGCTGCGTTATTTTGTATAAAAAGATGCCATGAAAATTTTTTATTAGTGTCGTTTGAAATCGATTTGCAATAAATCATTGTTCTTGATTGCTAAATCAAAACGATGTGTCATGCTATTTGACTTTCGCTCATGTTTTCATACAATGGTTGAAACAATTAAGATAAAGTCCTACGAATATTCGATTAAGGTTTTATATGAGATGTTCTGTTATATAGACATAATTCTCTTATATTATTTCTCAATAAATTGTATGTGGGTTACCAAGAATCTTGAAGATGCACAGTTTGTGGGTGATATGTATTTCCACATCTTCCATTCATTCAGCAAATTAAACCAACTCAGAAAATGATTGACATAAATTAACAATTGTTTATAAATATTAAAATATTATGAAATTTGTTTATTAACTTCGCGTAGGGCAAGGTATAATAATCGCAAAAAATAGAAAATAAAAATTTTTATGTATCTTTACGTTTCAAAGGTTTCTGAACATTTTGGCATACCTTAGAAATACTGGATGTATGTGTGCGGATACAAATATTCGTCTACGATTTCCGGAACACAGATCAACCGATTTGAATAATTAAAAAAACATTCGATTCGTATTTATAAGGAGACGTGCTGATTAGTATTTGACAAAGGCAGGTCTAGCCACTCCGAAGATACGGGGCAAAAAGTGCCAAAAACGATAAATCAGCTTTTAAGAGAACGGAGCGTCCGATTTTAATAACTCAGAAAACATTTAATTTGTATTGACAAGATGGAGAACTGATTAAATTTTTGGGAAGGTCCAGCGGTTATAGACTCTCAATAAAAATAAGTTAAAAAAATGTCATTTGGCGGTCAGAAATGTTTATTGGACTTATGCACATCAAATTACCAGATATTTTATAGAGATTTTTAAAGTTTGCACACTTTTTGTGTAATTTTTTTAGGATTCCATACCAAGATTTTTTAATACGGTACGGGAAGTTCCAGCAATTTTCTTCAGGCACGATGCCATGCACCCCACTAGTTTTTGTTTTTTTTTGATTGAAAATTAATTATTTTGAATGAGATTTTTTGAGGTAATTTTACCTTAGTCCAACCAGCATGAATCTACTGAGAGTAATAAAGCTAATTAGTAAGAATTAAGACTTAGCACTTTGACACTTTTCTGCCAATTTTGAAGACGTTTTCAAGAACATGCGTTTTTATACAGATTGAATTTTCAATTTTTGAACTTGATACAGTTTCAGTTTCCAATTTTTGAAATTGGTGCAGCCGTTTTTGAGAAAACGTCGGCGACAGATCAAATTTAGTCTCATACATTTTACAATTTTGATAGCAAACCATTCAGAATGACTTGAAGTGTCAAAAAAACACAAAATTAGCAAGTCGGATTTTCTGGCAAAAATGCACCACAGAACGCATAACATAATCCGTTATTACCTTCCGGATGCGCAATCTAAAATTATTCCTCAAGTTAATTTACCGCTTTATACAATTGAAAACAGTTTTCTATCTAATTCCAAAAATATTCAATTACACCAGATTTCATCTACTTCAATTTCCATTACAATTTCCTCGATTCCTCTAAAATCTTAATGGGAATTGCACCTGCCTGCCTATGCGTTCAGCGCTGGTGAACTTCCTGATCTGTTTTTGAATCTGCAACGTGACTATTACTGCACAACCTGATTTGAAACAATCAAAGCATAACAAATCAGAGGCAGGAAATGATATAATAAAAAAGAGAAAATTATAAAACTCTACAAGAAAGTTCGAGTTGACTATGATCAAGATATAGACAATTAACGGCATAATATACATACTTAAAATACTTGCATGGTAACAGATACAAAGATACGATTTTTTTCTGTAAAAATATGTATATCATGAAATAAAAAATATGATAAAATTCATTTCTATTCATATTAATGTACGGTAGAGCTATTTAGATTCTGATTGCTATTTAATTGTAAAAAAGAACCATTTTATTCTATCTATTTAATATTCAACACATATCGATCATAACTATAGAGCAACTAAATATTTATCTCAAACGTATTAGTTTTTCATATCTAATCAGGTCAATTCGATAAAAATCGATCTATATGAATAATTGAAATCTAAACTGTACTACAAAAAGTAAAAACTTTATACTTTTATATTCATGTATCAAAATAGTTTTAAATTACATCGACTTTTATATAATATTAAAATCTATTAATAGATTTTCAATGTGTATTCAACATATATGCAATTGCAATTATTTGATAGGTTTTATAAATGCGATGAGCCTTCTTATGATAATATTTCGAAAATGATATAATATAAACTTATTATAAGTCAACTCAATTTTAAGCATTTATGTATTATTTATTTATTTATTTTTCTGAATATCCTATTTCCTTACTCCTTAAAATGCGGTGTACCAAAAAGTAGTATGTATTATTTTCTACTGTATGTTTTTTTAGTTAAAATATGCTAGAGCTTATTGAGAACACTTCATAATGCATAAACATTTCTTTATCGCAAAAATTATCGAACTCATTTTCCATGCCTATTGTACTTTGATTTATTAGACCCATATTAACCTAAGGTGAATGGACTGCATATTATGCGATCCTTTTCCTTTTTGCAATTGCATTCTGAAGAACAATTACTATTTCATTTGTAATATAAATAAATGAATCTACGATTTTGTATTTAACATTTAGCATATCATAGAATTTCATATTGGAATAGTGATATTTCGATTATTTATCAAAATCGAAGCTCAAGATGAGAAAGTGGTGATATAACCATTAAAATTTTGGACAAAAATTCCAGTATATATTTAGTCAAATCTAAATCATACGATCGAAACTTCAAGTTCACGAAAAAAATCGAACATTTACTCTATTATTTATTATAATTTGTGGTTTTTATTACCAACTATTACCTGAAGATAGAAGGTGCATGATATTGGCTTCAAGGGCTTAACCTGACTAATTACAAGAACAACAGTTAATGATTATGTAGCCTGAGCTTGCATACATAATCTACTAATTATAATAATTAAGATAATAATTTTAATGAATATGTATTTTATTTTGTGTCTAACGTATCAGATAACGATAATTATTAGTTAGTATTTGTTAAAATTTGAATGCATTAACTAAGATAATAATTTAAACACTGCATCATTTTTATGCAAAAGAGGTAATGATAATTTTGTTTTTTTTTTTCATTAACAATCAACATGCAATTAGATTTTATAAGCAATTTGGTAAAAGTGGACAAAATAGCAAAAACAATCACTACAGTCTATAAAACATCAAAAATTCTGATTGCAGTTTAAAAAAAACTATAAAGCTATAAAAGGCAATTTTTTTAACGTGAACTATATGCAAACACGTCTATCAATATATAAGTAATTTCTGTTGAAGCAGAAAAAATAGGCAATTATTGTTTTCAATTTAATTCATTCATATAATAAATATATATTATTGGAATCAATTTGACCATAATTATCCCCATTTGCTGAAAATTTTATTTTTTTATTTTTTATCAGTAGATATAATCACAATCCTGTCAGATATTGAGCGTCATTGTCATCCATTTTTAACATTTGAACTTTTTTAAATAATTATTGAAATATATTAGTGTTTATGAATGTCTCACTTAAGTACTCGTAATTCTTTAAATAAGTCACTAAAATAAATAAATGTTAAGTCAATATTTATAAACAATTATTAATTTTTTTCTAACGTGAACTGTATGCAAACACTTATTTATTATGAATTCAATGAGTTTTAGATAAAATATAAAAATTAGTTGGCATCGTTCTCAGAACTTTAGTTCAAATAATTCATTCATGTATAATAATACACATGAATATAGCACACTATTAACTTTTCTCAACGACATTTTTTTCGCAGTAGTGACACTGCTGTACAAAACAGCGATCCGCCCAAAAGTACTACTGATTAACATTTTTAAAGATTTTCTTATGATTATTAATAAAAATATATTTCAAAATTGAGAATTGCACTTAAAATCAGAATAACAGTTCAGCATTCTCAATAAATTAATGTAGAGTGATAAACAATGAAGCAAAGGTCGATACTTTGAATGTCGTCCATAGACGACACCTGTACACACAGGTAGATATGTAGATATTGCCTATTGGCAACACTCATAGGTAAAGGGTTGCAGTGGTTTCCAACCTTTTTAATAAAAAAAAATATTTCGCCTCTCATAATTTTTTCAACAATTTCATTTTATTTTTCACCTGATATTATCAGATTACCAATTAATATGCAATACTATGTAAAAATGCTTAAAAAGTAATATTAATTTCAAAAATTTCATTTAAATTTCAAAATTTTCATCAAATATTATTTCAAAAAATTTTGGGTTATTTTCGAAAATAGTATTTTGGATGTATGCTCCCCCCTAAGGAGGCGCGCCCCACATGTTGGAAACCGCAGGATTAATATAATAAAACATCAAGAATATTATAATTTGTTGTGAATAAATCTTAAATCTTCAATTAATCTTATTATTATTTCCTTACCTTTTGGCATACCGCATGGCCCCTTCGTCCTGGAGTTATCAAGAAAATCCAAATCAAATTTTCGCGCCGGCGGAAAAGTCAATGAAACATGAGCTTCCACATATGAAAAATACACACACACTGCGAACAACAACAACGATATAACACTCGCCATTTTCTAGTCAATAATTTTCCAAATTTTCACTTTGTCATTGAACGAGAAAAATTTAACAATTTACATACACTATCACTAACACCTAACAGTTTCTTTTACAAATGTTACAGGTTACACATTTTAGTTATTTTAACAGGTCACACTTGAAAAATCTCCAAATCTTCGTGTGTCTTCCAGTCTAATACATACGATGATTGTATTCGATATATTTTTTTAGAAAGTTGATTTCGTATTGGATAATGTATGCGTAAGATTTCGCTTTTTAATTTTTAACACATGTCTTGTGCGCGGTAGCTTTCTTGAGGTCGAAATCGCCGCCTGAAATAAATTAACACCTGATTTAGCTCACACCGAAAAAAATATTGATAAAGCAAGTTAGACTAATTTTTGTGCATGGTAAATAAACATTATCAATAATAAAAAATATTTGATGTATTAGCAAAAGCGTTTCAACAATAATTCTGATGCATTGGATTGGCATCCGATTTAGACATACTGGGTAGTACCAAAAATTTGCTGATGTTCCGTGATGGCATAGGTGCAGATATTTGAAAAAAATCTGATGTTAAAATAATTAAAGATTAGAAATTTAAAAAAAAACATTTATACCGATCAAATTACCAGTTAGAGTAGCTGAATGTACTTATTGTATAGTTTGCTATGTAGAATAAAACGAACAAACAAAAATTATACCGATGCCTATATATTATAATTTTTAAACTTTTTAACTTAGAACCTTCTTTTTGAAATTTATTTAATAAAACATATTATTTGGTGTTTAAATAAATGTATTAATGAATTATGAACATATTATTTTTGACCAAGATAGTTTCTCAATATGGCAACATCAAAAAATCTCCGAAACGTCGAATAAATGATTTAAAAAAAAAAAATTAAGAAGGAAGCTTTTAGTTCATAAAATCAAAAAAATTAATAAGACGTAGGAAAATTAAATGAGAAGTAATATATATTTATTATTACCAAGTCTATTTATTCAATCATACTTTTTATAAATTAAATAAATAAGCTTGGTATGCATAAATAAATAAATCATGAAAATCTATTTACGTTATTTTGTTTATAAAAATGGGTTTAAAATATATATGTATGTAATTATTGATTATGAATATAATCCTATACAATATTAATTGATTAAAAATACTCGACTAAATATTTAGCTTATTCACATACTAAAATAAAATTATTGAATATTTTCCCGAATAATATTTAAATTTACTTCTTAGAGCTATTAAAATTTTTTTTTTTAAATAAAATTAGTTTTGTATTTTATATTTAGTATAAGGATTAATTACTTAATTAAAAAACTAATTTCTATCAATATATAAATAATTGCTGTTGCTCGTAGTAAAATACGTAAATACTGTTTTTAAGATAATTTTTTGAATATTAATTTTTACTCTACTTTATTTTTTGTCTCGATTAAATATTTTGCTTGATTTTATAATCAAATAAAATAAAAGTAATTATCTTGAATAATAATTTAAAACTTACAATATAAAAATTACATTTACTATATATAAAATAAAGTTACTAAAAAATTAATAATATAAAAAAATACTGTTTGCTTGACTATATTATAAAAATAATATAATTGAATATTAATTCTCAACAACTGCATAATTTTACTCAAATAAAAATGTTGAATATTATCTCAAAATATATTTTATTGATTTTGCTTTATAAAATAACTAAAAAAATAATATTTACATCAATAAAATATGCTATTTAAAATGTTTTGCTTTAATATAAACAGTAATTATTTAAAACTAAAAATTCGATCAATATATAATCAACTTTTGCTCTTAGTAAAATAAGTAAATACTGTTTTTAAGTTAATTCATTTATTGATTATTTTTATCTCGACCATATTTTTCTCTCGACTAAATAATTTACTTACTTTTATAATGAAATAAAATTAGAGGTAATTATCTTGAATAAAAATTTATAACTTAGATTTGCTATATAAAATAAAGTTACTATAAAATTTAATAATATAAAATAAATTTTTACTGTTTGTTTGAGTTTAATATAAAAAATAATAATTAAATATAAAATCTCAACGATTGTATAATTTTGCTCAAATAAAATTATTGAATATTATCTCGAAATATATTTTATTCATACTTCCTTAATTTACTAAAAAAAATAATATTTATATTATTAAAAGATGCTATTCATAGTGTTTTGCTTTAATATAAACAGTAATTATTTAAAACTAAAAATCAATTACTATTGCTAGTAGTAAAATATAAGTAATTACTATTTTTAAGTTAATTCATTTTTTTTCTCGACTAAATATTTTACTTGATTTTTTAATGAAATAAAATTAGAGGTAGTTATCTTGAATAAAATTGTTTAGAATTTGCTATATATAAAAAACATACTAAAAATTAATTACTTACAATGATTCAATAAAATTCATTAATAAAAAATAATTGATTATAAATACTCGACAACTATATAATGTTTCTCAAATAAAATTATTGAATATTATCTCTCGAAATGTATTTTATTGATATTGATTTATAAAAATACTAAAAAAGTAATATTTATATTGATAAAAAAATGCTTTTTTTAATTTAATATGTTTAGCTTTAGTATAAATATTAAATTTTCTAAAACTAGGTAGCTAAAATATATCAGTATATAAGTAATTACTATACCGAATAGTAAAAAACAGTAATTACTGTTTTCAAGTTAATTAATTTAATTATTACATGAATTATTAATATAATAAATAGATATTATTGGATTCAATTTGACCATAATTATTTGCAGAAAATGAATATTCTTTGTCAGTCAAAAATCTAATTTTATTTACATTTTCAAAAAAAAAACACAATCAGAATCCAGTCAGATGTTGGGCGTCATTGTCACCTTCACATTTTTAAAAATAATTATAGTTCAACACTTAAAATATATTAGTGTTTATAAATACCTTACTTAAGTACTCGTAATTCTTAAAAGCAGTCACTAAAATAGCTAAATGAGAAGTCGATATTTGTATAAAATTATCAAATTTTTGAATCTACAACGAACATTAACGTAAAAATCAGATGTATTGGTATCAAATAAGAATATTTTATATATAAAAAATGAATAACTGCGTAGTATGAATGTTTTATACATAAAGATTTCGTTTACTTATTACGTCGATTTAAATAGTAGTTATGCAAATATAAACAAATCACTTAAGCAAACCATGACATGCTTGTTTAACGTATTTTTATAAATTATTATACTAATTTGATTAAATAATAATACAAACCTATATTGCATATCTTTAACTCCTCTCATAAAAACCTAGGATCAACTCAAGATACAACAACACTTATTGCAGTTTATAAAACCATATGCCACACAAAACCACTGAATCACCGTTAAAAACTAATGAACGAAATCAATTAATACACTCGGATTAGATTAAAATTTTGTATTGACACGCAGTCGAAATACAAATAAATTGAAAAAGTTTTTTTCAAGTATTTTGTTGGAGAGAAACTGTTTAAGAAAACGGCGTCTTTCACCTTTGGCGTTCGCCTAAGAACTCGCTCGAGACGACGCGAAGCGCTCGCCAAAGACGTTTAACTTAACACGAATCGCAGGTGAAGCTCAGAGGTAAATATACCTGTCCGGCGCCTGATAATCAGGTCATAGGTAGTCGTAAAAGTATCTTTGGTTGATAATCTTCTAGGTGTATTATAAAATAGTTTTAAAGGGGTATTCATGGCATATTCATGGTATTCTAGACCAGGGCTTCTTAAACTTTTTTATATAGCAACCCTTCAAGCTTAGGAAATTTTAAACGAACCCCTCCTGCAATAATAAATATATATTGATAGAGGTAGATGTATATCGCACTATTTTACAATATAAAGGATTAAAGAATATGTACCCATTCATATCACATATATATATATATATATATATATATATATATAATTGGAAACGTTGACAATAAAAACTATATATATATATATATATATATATATATATTATATATAATATATGACTTATGATTGATTTCTGGAGGGGGCGTAACATCAAGTAAAAAAAAGAGAGTGAAGTAAAGATTTTTTCAAACATCTTTATTTTTCCATACGTTTCGACGTAAAATTCTACGTCATCTTCAGTGGTTTTGAATTATTTATATTATCACTAACACATATTAATATAACTTGTAAAAATTAATAATTATAGACAAGCAATAACTGTCAGTAATTTCTTTTTTTTTAATAAAAAGAATAAAAGATAAAAAGTGATTAATAAATAAAATATTATACGTAATACACTTGCATCCGAGGCCAGTGCCAAACAGAAAAGAGGGCGTCTTGGGGTGCATGGTTCCAACTCTCCTGGTGATCCGAAACATAAAAACTAGATGGATTCTTAATTATTATAGATGCCGCTATCGTATGAACCTTGCATAAGTTAAAAAAAAAATATTTGTTTGAATGGCGACAGTTTGAAAAAAAAATTTTTTTTTCATGTTTTTTTTAACAATTCCGAATTTTTTAAAAATACTAAATGAAAAGTTATAGTTTTGGAAAAGGTCCATGCGATAAAGCGATGTATAGAGAAGATCCTCTCCAAATTTGAAGTAAATCGGTTCATTAGAACTCGAGATATCCTTACCGCCAGCTCGAAAAAAGTAGTTCCGAGAAAACGCGTTCAAAGTTTTGAGACTGGTCGGACCCAAACCGAGGCCACGTCACTTAAACGGATATAACTCAGGAAATAATAGTGATTTGAAAAATCCTTTTAATGACATATTTCTGAATAACTAAACTTAGAAAATATGAAAAAAAAATTTTTTCGATTTTTTCAAAATTACAGTAGACAGTAGAAAAAAATTCAGCTCAAAAAAGTTACTCAAACATTTAATAACATTTATAGTTCTATGTCTATTGTCGCATAGTGCACACATTCGTTTAAAAGTGCAGTAATTAATTTTTATGAAGTGATAACGGCAAAGGCAG